TGATATTTGAATTTCTCTGATCATAATTTACTTTTCGATGACCATATTACCCAAAGAACCTATGTGCAAAGAATATAGGTTTAGGATAACTCTAACACTCCTGGACCAACAATTTATGCAGATTATTTTCTCTTCAGTGTCTGAATAAATATGGCATTCATGGAGAGTCATATCCTTGTCAGCTGATTACTAATTTTAAGCCTAGTTCATGTGCATCATTAGAATTTATAAATACCACTTTGAAATGTGTCTTGAACAGATCTGAAAGATAGATGAAAAGAGATTTTCTCGGGGTCCCTGGGTGGCTCAGTCGTTAAGTGTCTGCCTTTGGCTTGGGTCATTATCCCAGGGTCCTGGAATCGAGTCCCACTTCGGGCTCCCTGCTCAGCAGGAGGTCTGCTTCTCCCTCTCCCTCTGCCACGCCCCCTGATTGTGTTCTCTCTCAGATAAATAAATAATTAAAATCTTTAAAAAAAAAAAAAGAAGATTTTCTCAAGTTTATAGAAATGAGGTTAACATTAAAGCAGAATAACTGCTTCTAGAAAATTATTTAAAATAGCCAATACTATATCATTTAAATTTGAAACTTACAAAGAGGACAGTAGTTGTTTTAAAATGAATGGTGCCATACATTTTAATGCATTCTACTGATGGCTGTGGAATCCTTAATGTATTACTCAATGTCTACTCAATGATATAAAGATATCGTTAATTATCTTACTATTATATGAAAAGTTTAAAAAAGCACTCCTTAAACTTCATTGTGATTATTACACATAAATATACATTAAGTGCTGAGGACAAGTTTCAACTAACATATGGCAACCACAGGTTTTGAGATTCTTAATGGAAATCAAAAGAGCTTCCTTGCACCCTACCTCCCCTGCTCCTCCTGAATGTATCATTCTGTTACAATATCCTACTTTATTTTATTTACAGCAGTTATCAATATCTGAATTTTTCTTCCTATGTATTTACTTGTTTACAGTCTGTCTCCCCCACTAAATTACAAGGTCTAAGGGGTCGGAGAATGTTACTGTCTTACTCGTCATTTACTCCCAGCACCTAGGACAGTGCCTGGTACTCTTCATGTAAAAAACTGTTGACCAACTGATTGACCGGACAAATGAATGAATTCAAGTCTTAGCATACGCAGTGACTGAGATGAAAGGAGAATCATTTTTAATTTTGTATTGTCTAGCCTTCAGATAAAGTATTGCTCTTGGAGCAAAATATTTAGAAAAACATAAATGATATCTGTGAAAGCACAGGGCAAGCTCAATGGAGCTTATGACACTGTCATGATGATCCATGACAAAGTATGTAACCCCCCATACTACTGGCTTGGCTCATAATAGATTTCCAATTACTGAGAGATATTGTTGTTATTAACTATATAGCAGACTCATTTTTTATCTTTTAAGGTTTCTTTTATGGTTTTGTTTTGTTTTTATAATCTGGACCTCTGGGATATTATATTCACTATCATAAAATTAAAAAAATTAAAAAATTGTTCCAATTATATCCATTTTGAAGGATGAGAAACTAGCACAGTTATTATGAATACTTAATAAATACTACATGTTAAAAGAACTATTAATAAATGGAGAGTCACAACAAAAACATAAGTACTATTAAATCAAGTTTCATAACATTTCCTTTTTTTCAGAATTAGGTGTGTTATGGCAGACGTGAAGGGAATGTATCAATTTTTAATTGCTCAATATGTTCAGATTCTGACATTAAATCTACAGAAGAAAAAAGTATTGGTTACTACTAAGCAAGAGTTCTTGAAAGATGTCAGTGTTGTGGTAAGAAGGTGCCATAAATTCCTCATCACTTCACAAGAGTATATTGCTAACATAAGGTTGACCTACTTAACTAAGTGTAAATAAAGACTTCAAGTTTGTGTTACCAAAGCAGCCTGCTTCCGACAGACTGACTCTGAAGATAAACCAGGGCACTGACATTAAAAGAGCATTGATCTGAGAGCTTGTTTACTTTGAAAGCAGCAGATTTTTCATGCTCAGTCACTTCTATTCTGCTCTATGTCACGCTGCCACCTTGATGACCCCCCTCTGCAGAACACATCAAAGATGGCTACCAAGTTCAACTTGTAGGGTTCAAACAATAGGTTCACTATACTTAAGCATGTATAGGGAAGTGGGACACAAGGAGGGCAAGGGTGCTGGAAGCAAAAAGGGGACAGGTAAACAGGGAGAAAAGTTGGTCTGCTGGTCATTATGAAATGATATGGTTGGCTCTACCTCTCATAAAATACTGACACTATTCAAGACAAAGTATACTTCTGAAGCCGTATTAGTTTTTCTTCATGGAGTATTTGTTAAGTTGGTTTGGAAGGTTTTCTGTATATTTATGACATTTTAAAATGGTCTCTTTTTTTTTTAAAGATTTATTCATTTATTATTTTAGAGAGAGAGAGAGAGAACATGGAGGGAAGGGGCAGAGGGACAGGGAAAGAGAAAATCCCAAGCAGACTGCCTGCTGCGTATGGAGCCCATGGTGGGGCCTTTTCCCATGACCCAAGTGGAAATCAAGAGTTGGAAGCTTAACCGACTGAGCCACTCAGGCACACCTAAAATGGTCTTATTTAATCCCTGCTGGGTTTAGTTCTAAATATATGTGATACCATTTTATTCCAATTGTAACTCATCAAGGATCTTTTTATACCTTTTAGCCTTGGGGTGGTGAATTCCAACAATTTAGTACCCATAAAGAAAAATATCGTTGCCTTAACTTGGCCTAATAACTACCTCTTTCATGCTTCATGGGGTCCTGAACCTTTACAAATGGCACAAGAATCTCTCTACTCTCAGCTTTTATATCCCTCACTGTCTCTATCATGCATTTTGAAACTTTGTTACGTATCTGCCAATGAAATGCTAAACTCCTCCAGGACAGAGACTCTATTCTATATCTAGCTTTAATATAGTTGACTTCCCCTATGTTTCCCATTTCCAGCACCTTCCCTAGCACCTCACGCAGTGGGCACTTCATACCTATTGGGTGAACGGAATGGAATTCTGGAATTTGGTTCAGTCTCTACGCTATTGCCTCCATATACTCTTTCTGATCTCATCATGGCCATTCTCTTAGAAATCCTAGTGCTTGAAATGTTTGCATAGGGATACACCATCAGCTTGTAGTCCCACTTCCCTATAGAGCCATTTATAATCCTGTTATTAAGTCTTTTTGGTGGGTTTTGACTAAAGCACCAATATTTTAACTTTAAAGCAATTACATTCTAAAGTAAGATTATGCCACTATATTTCAAAAGCACCTACTTTAATCAAAAAATTTTGGTTTTTTGGCCACAACAATAAACTCTCATGCAAAGTATTATTTTAACTCTAACTAAAATTCATCACAAACATACTTAGCATAATATATATAGAAAAATGCACTGTGAACATTCTTAATTACTTCTTTGTTTTGAGCAAAATGACCATTTTCTACCTGTGTAAAATGTAAATAAACAAAAAATATTTTTAACTGGAACTAATAACTGAATAACTTAAAAGTGGACCAAACAACAACAAAATGACATTGGGCTCTGTGTTAGAGATGTATTACAGATGCATAAATACCTAAGTAAAATATCGGAGAGTGCCTATTATATAATAGTTGATAACCCTGAAAAACTTTTTGTTTTTCAGAATACTTTTTAAAAGCTTAATTCTGTATCCACTGCTATTATATTTCACTGCCAATTTGAAGAAAATAAATGATTCTAATCTTGGATTTCACAATCCGTGCTTAAAACAGCTCTAATGCAGATTATGGTGTAATTATGGTAAATGCCAAAATAATGTAATTAATCTTAACCACTTCACTAAATTAAAGTGTCTTGTAACAAAAAAGACAAGGCAACATGTATAAGCACATACAGGATTGTATAATTAAGTATATTTCAAAAATCCTAAAGCAGCAAATATCAAACTCATAGAAGAACTTCAAGACACAACTGGAAACAACTAGAAAATATACACTGTTTGCACTTACGTTAGGGTTGGTTTTCATTTAGTTGTCTCTTATCAATAGGTCACTAAAACTTAAAATATGCTTAAGCACTTAAAAGTTATACAGCCAATTTTAAAGCTAATCATTATAGTAGTTTTAACTGTAGGTCCCTCGGTTTTAGGAACAATGACTTCATTCCTCTCATCGAGCACCTTTCCTGCCTACCCACCACAATACTTGTTCAGTGAGTGCCTAGGGCTGATGGACTGCCATGTGGCTTGAATAGAACACTTTCAAATAATCACAAATCACAATAACAGGTAATAAGTATTCTCTGTGACTGGGGCCAATCCCTCCACAGAAAGGAACTTTTCCCCTCAAATATTTTCCTAGACTGGCGGGGGCAGAGGAAGGATGCAGGAAGTATATAGGTGAGCTTCTGAAATCAATTCACATGGTTCTGCCAGTGAAGTGAGGCCTCCCCTTTTTTAAAATCAGTTAGATAAAATGCAATAATTAATGCATATACAAGGGTATTTAATTCTACCCCAAAAATGATCCTTACTAGAAAAGATTTATTTCCCCAATTTGGGAGTGATTTCCCTTATCCTTGGTCATCTTCTAAAACTGACTATATTTGGGGTGCCTGACTATATTTGGTCAGTTAGGTGTCTGACTCTTGGTTTTGGCTCAGGTCATGACCTCAGGGTAGTGAGATCAAGCCCCCTTTTGGGAGTCTACCTGAGATTCTCTTTCCCCCTCTCCCTCTGCCCCTCCACTGGCTTGCATTCTAAATAAATAAATAAATAAATAAATAAATAAATAAATAAATAAAGTCTTATATAAAATTGACTATATTTAATAAGGAGAATTCTCATTAATATATTTTTTTCACTATCCCAATAGTATAGGATAATCCCCCCCCGCAAACTTTAGGAATCACTTGCAGAAGCACATGTAACCGTCTCGGATGCCTATCTAATGTATAAAAGATTTTTTTTGAACTGAGAAATACTAACTTTAAGGTTGGATAAGCAGTTGTTGAGGAAAATGTGCCACCTGTTCAGGAACAGCTGCTTCTGACTGACGCAGAGAAGGCAGGTCACCAGGGGGTACAAGGCCTGAGGAGAAAGAAGGTGAGGTCACGAGATGATTTCTATTTCAACAAACCAGGTAACACACGTTCTCTGGAATCGCTACCTAGCCATCTCCCTCTGTGGGCCAGAACAAACAGGACGCTTTATAACACAAGGCTCAACGGGGGCCACGCAGAGGTAGGCATTTCGCAAACGCCTTCTGACGATGATGGGGGTGGAATTATCTAGAATTATGAAGTGTATGATAAGTTTCATGTGTAGTAAGTGGAAATCTGATTCACTGATTTAGTCTTCACTTACGAATTTTAAAAACAAACTCATTATCTTAGATCACTCTCAATCCTCAGAGAGAAAGCAGGAAGGCACACTAATTTAAAAAATGCTATTTTTGCTCATAAACATCTACTAGCTTGTCCTTGTCTAAGAGGCAGGTGTATATATTTTCTTTTGCATGCAATCGTCCTGTAATTAAGGAAGATTCCTAAAAGAAATGTTACTGCATTGGCAAACTCCACCAAGACAAATTTAACCACAGGAGGAATTTGCTTACGAGTGAATAAACAGAGGTGCTATACTGTGCTTTTCCTGCCTAACTGGGCTGGTTTCCCACAGCAACTGGAGAAGATAGAAAAGCTAATGAGCAGCCACCCAAAAAATTTATATGCAGAACCCAACACCATTCTGCTGAACCAGATATACACCTTGAGGGCACCCAAAGAATTAAGGCTAGTGAAGATTTAACAAAAATATAACAGGCTCATCCATTAAGTTGAATTAGCAAAACACAATTGCCACAACGAGATTCAGTGCTTCACAGACCATTAACTTCATTTTTTCATTCACTTGGTTTTAAACTGAACTACGCTACCGTTGAGTATAACTCTAATTCCAGCCAGTAATCTAAAAAAAAAAAAAAATACTAGTGATTAGTCACAGTGACCACTGAAGTAGACAATGAGGACATCCGTCACCACTGCCAGCAAAGCAACTCTGAACATTACTTCGAAGACCAGCATAAATCATGCCAGCAAACCAGCTCCCTAAGTAACCTGCTTCCTCCATACTGTCACAGTTATAGCCCATATGCCACGTGTTGATTCATAAACCAGAGGCTTTTTTTTTTTTTTTACTACTGAGGGCAAAAGGTCATGGTAATTCAAAAGATTTTTCTGTGCCACTGCTCTTCAGCACAAACGCTTTCCCAATTACTGTTTCCTCAGCCTTCAGAGAAGCTTTCCTATGGGCAACTGTCTCTCTCCCAACTCCCTTTGCTGCCTGCTTCCATTTTGATTTTGAGTATCAGGATAGGAACGAACCAGTGAAGACCCCTGAAGATTGAAAAAGATAAACTGTTATTATAAACTTTGACTTTTAGATTGGAAAAAATACTCAAAACAAAAATCAAGGTAAGCCAGTCTTGAAAATAAACAACAGAATCTTAGGACAAGAAGGGTCATCTGAGGTGACACCATCTAATCCCCTTATATTATTGTGATCCAGTTATGGTCAATGTTAAGTGCAAGCTCCAAATTTGGAAATGCTCCCTCTTTTGGGGGCAGCTGTAGGTAATGCTCCTATCTGGGGGACCCTTATGACTCTCAGATAGATTTCAGCGTAAGGATTTTAGCCTCTGCAGTTTTGCGTTTTGGATTTTCTCAGAGTTACTAACCAACGAATGCTTCTTTCGAGAAGAAAGTTCCAGCGTGGTGTCATATAGGCTTTCAACAAAGTTTCTAAGGCAGGGAACATTTACTTCATTTTTAACAGCCTAAAATAGAGATGCATGTTAATATCATATTAATGAAATTGGTGATTCTCTAATCCAATTTGAAGAAATTCTTAAAAATAAAAACATAACTCACGGCAGCAACTGGGACAAGAATTTCAACAAAAAGCCCAGCCAAGGCATGCTTGATATCTTTGTCTTTGACCTCGAGGAAATAATGTGCACATTCCTAGGAAGTAGAAAAAAGCAAAGGAGGGAGAACAGATTGAAATGTGCACATAAAATGTACTTAAACAAATGTAAGGAAACAGCTTTTAATTCAATCATATACACTAACATAGCATATTCTTTAATCCATTAAAGAAAATAACTGGATTCTAGCATTGATACTTAAGTTCAAAATGGCCTCAATGATATTTTGCAGGACTGGTTTTCTCACCCTCCCACTTCTCTCAAATCACTATGCTGAAAGGACAAAGCATCTACAACCAGGAAGCAGTTACTCATCCACTCACTTAATTGGTTGATTCATTCATTCAGACATTCATTGCTGACAAATTTCTCTTGACCACCTACTGTGCGTGGGGCCCTGGGTCCTTGATTAACCCACAAACACAGGTCCCCAGAGAAGGTAAACATGTGAAGAGAGGCAGAAGATATTAAACTTATTTTGGGCCCTGTGACAGCCCCAGGCACAGAGCTGTTTACTTCTTAGCTCTGACATTTTAGGTGTGTTTATTATTCAGAAAGTTTCATAAGCAAGTTTGGAATGCTGCCCTCCCCCACCCCAGGCAAGAAACTTTTAGAATAGTTCCTCAAGCAAGGACGTCTTTGCCTGTGGACTACTATCTATGAAAGGGTATTTTTGGTGGCCCAGAGAATCATTTATTGGGGAAGCTGGCCTGTTGAGAATTCCACCAGCCCCTTTCTCCTTCCTGGCCTTTTTGGTAGTAACTCTTCGTTAGGTATTGTTTTCATGGAAGGGTCCCAGGCTACAGGGATTTGTGATGATATGTTAATATCTACATTAGCTATTATACTTATTTTCAGTCAACATTGGGACCACTACCAACAAAAGTTACCACAATCTCTAGTCTATTGACTCTATACTAAGACATCAGTCCAAGAAAGGCATTGCCAACATGGAGTCATTGAAATGGTTTCCCCAATGCAGAATGGCTCTTCATGACTCCTGGAATTGGGGCCCTTTTCCTACATTATTTTGTATATGTGTGTAAATAGTCTTTCGAGTCATCATTCAAATGCATAGATACATGAATTATTCATATGAGAGAGGGATAAAAAGTGTTAACAGTTACTAAGTGCTTACCACGTGCCAACAATCCTCTGAGCCACCTTCTAAGGTTAGCACCATTATGACTGTTTTGCACAAAGGTAAGTGAGGCGGGGAGGGGTTAAGGGTGACTTGCCCAAGGTCACAGTGTCGGTAAATGCTGAAGTTTGAATTTAAACCCAAGAAGCTTGATACATGGCCTATATTCTTTTTTTTTTTAAAAAGTTTCATGGAGATATAGTTCACATGATATGCAATTCACCCACTTAAAGTGTACAATTCTATGGCTTTTAGTATATTCACAATTGTACATTTTTTAACGATTGTTTATTTATTTCACAGAGATTGAAAGATTGACAAAGAGAGAGGAGAGAGAAAGAGGGCAAGCAAGGGGAGCGGCAGGCAGAGGGAGAGGGAGAAGCAGGCTCCCGGTTGAGCAGGGAGCCCGATGCAGGGCTCCATCCCAGGGCGCTGGGATCATGACCTGAGCTGAAGGCAGACGCTTAACTGGCTGAGCCACCCAGCACCCCCACAATTGTATTTATCACCACCATTAAATTTAGAACCTTTTCATTATCCTCCAGAGAAACTTTGTGCCCTTTAGCAGTCATTTCCAACCTCTCTATCCACACTCCCTTCCTCTAAACCCTATGCAACCACCAATCTACTTTCTGTCTCCATGAATTTGCCTATTCTGGACTTTTCATATAAATAGAATCATGTAATATGCGGCCTTTTGTGTCTGACTTCTTTTATTTAGCATTATATTTTCAAGGTACATCCATGTTGTAGCATGTATCAGATCTTCATTCCTTTTTATGGCCAAATAATATTCCCTTAGGTGGATATACCACATTTTGTTTATCTATTCATCAGTTGATGAACACTTGGGCCGTATTCACTTTTTTTGTTATTATGAATAATGCTGTTATGAACATTTGCATTCAAGTTTTTGTGTGAATGTATATTTTCACTTCTCTTGGATATATCCCTAGAAAAACGTGGAATTGCTGGATTACATAGCAATTCTAGATTTAACCACTGAGGAACTGTCAAACTGTTTTCCAAAGTTGTTATGCCATTTTATATTCCCACCAGCAGTGTACGAGGGTTCCAATTTCTCTACATCCTTACCCACACTTGCTATTATCTGTCTTTTTGATCATAGCCATTTTAGTGGGTATGAACTAGTACAGCCTATATGCCTAATCCCTCTATCTAAGCTCTTCATTGACAAAGACCCTCACTAAACCTAGTTCACAGCAGTATTAAAGAAAGTTTTATAAATTCTAATAGAGCCACATGTTCTGCAAAATCCACATTAGCAACAATTCTTTTGTTAGTACATAATGAGAAACACTGTGTAATTGACACCTAAACCATATGTATGGTTTGGTTGATTTTTAAAAACTGATTCTCTTTTATAGTAGGAATAGAAAGTTTTCTGCATTATTTAAAGTTCTGATGCCTATGAATGTTAACATAGCCACCTCAATGCTATCAATTATAAAAAGCAAAAAAATCAGCGATCAACATGTAGCTGATGAGTCAAAAAGAGAAAAAAGCCAACCAATAAGACATTCCACTATACACCCTACTTCAAAGGTGATAGGAAAGTTTAAAAGTGAAATTATCTGGCTGCAACTCTATTATTTGGTTACAAAGCACGTTATGCATTACTGAAGAAAAAGTAGGACTTTTCTCCACATTGTCAGGTGAATGGGCTTTCACATTCCAAGTCAGTCATTCTGATGAAGGGAGCTGTTCAGGTTGATAGCCCTTTGGTTCTCCTGCCCAAGATATTACTTACCTGCATAAACTGAAGAGAAGCCTCGAAGTCCTCCACTGGATACATCTTAATTCGAAAGAACTTCATCCCCATTATCAAGCTGATAATGCTCTGAACAACATACGGGCTCTGCTCTTTGTGCCGTAATTCCTTGAGTTCTGCCATAAATTTCTTCTTTACAGCAGGGAATCTAAGAAGAGAACATGAGTGGTTTATCAAATAATGGGTATGAAAGTGACTATAATGGAGGCCTCCAGCATCTAGGAGTGACAGGGCACAGTGACAGGAGTCCTTTGAATCAGTTGAAGTACATGGCTGTCATTTTGTAAGGATTTCCTATTGGGGATTTGGTAAAGAGTACAATCTTCTCCTTTCTTCTCTTATTCTATAAGATGCTCAGCATTTCCTTCAGTCAGGGAGAAGATTCAGGGTTATTCAGACCCTCTCAAAATGGCCTCGCTGTTAAACTGAGCATGACAAAAAGCTCCATTTCCTCAGGCTGGGCAATTTCCAACATATTTGCAGACCCCAAGGGCCTAAAGTATCTCTAATTGTAAGTATCTGAGTGACAGCACAGGCCTGCGATCTCTGACAATGACAGCAAATCATGCAAAGAAATTGTCCTAACACATTTCCAGAGTTTTCTTTTTTTTTTTTTTAAAGATTTTATTTATTTATTTGAGAGAGAGAATGTGAGAGAGA